ATGGAACAAAACCATCACTAACACTACTAAAAGACGTCTTTACTCCTCGCTAGTTAAGAGTGTTACAATAAACCGTTCAGAAGTTTGGGAGATTGATAAAAGAACAAAAGGAAAGCTGCTGGCCCTTGAAATGGACTACTGGCGTAGAAGTTGGTGTTAAAGCAGACGTGACAGAATCAGGAACGACGACATAAGAAAGAAAATGGATGTAAAGAAATAAATCCTTGACGAAATAGAGAAAAAAACAAATTGTCTGGTACGGTCATGTTATGCGAATGACAGACGAAAGATGGCCAAAACGAGTCCTGAAATGGGTGCCGACAGAAAGACAGAAGAGAGGACGACCCAGACTTGCATGGCAGCAGGGAGTGCAAGACGTTATGACGGCAAGAGAAATGCCAGAGGATCTATGGTCCAATAGAGAGGCATGGAGACTGAGAGCGGAGAAACGGCAACAGCTGTAGAGCAAGTCCATACTATATATTATTATTATTATTATTATTATTATTATTATTATTATTATTATTATTATTATTATTATTGGTGTATTAGTAGTTTTACAATAATGACAAATGTTTTTAAAGACAAAGTACATCTGATCCAATGTGTAAGTTAAGTTGTGTTGATATAAAATCATTTATGCCAATTGTACCACATAAAAACATGGTTTTGTTGGAACTTGAAACATTAGAGACAAACAATAATTACATTAACATGGATACATTTGAACATCAAGAGTCGTTTCAATAATGTAATGTTAGTGCAATACCATATTTTTCTTCTGGATTCTGTTGTATTACTCGATAATATTAAGTAAAATTGTTTTCAGAATATATTTTATGAATACTATAAACAAACATGTTTGTTTTTTATAAATCCCATCCGATATTTCCCAACCCCAATTATTTTGTTATGTTTAAATAGGCGCAAAATTAGCTGAATACGTGATATTGTGGTGGTTAATTTGTACATTTGATATCCAAATAGAATAAGTACCGTGCTCCAGCCTCTTTCTTCAACATTCAAGAAGTACCCATTCTAGCCACAGAGTGCAGTGTTGTCAAATTAACTCCCGTACCTTATTGTAGATGGTAGCACACGTTTCCCCTTTTATTCTATGTTTCTCTATGTTCAAAATATATGCATTTGCAAGGAATATGCAAAGCTATGTCATGTGCATTAATGTAGATGCCAGTAGATGCCGTGTAATGAATGCTTGTGGAGTTTGTAAATAAAGTAATTAGCATTTGTTTTTTATTGAAGGAGCATTTGATTACCACTTTAATTGATTATTGACTTAGAACCAATAGTATGAAATAGCCATGAACCGACCAATGGAATTGGATATTTGGGGAGGAGATTGGGGTTTACCGTCTATTGATTTACACTGTTTGGAGGTTATGGTGAGTATTAACACCATTTATTTATTATGTGTAATATTGAAAAGTAATTTGACGTTTGTAGGGTGTCCTGTCAATAGTGCACTGGGATGTTTAAAATTGTAATTTGAATTTCCAATTGTGATTTGCATTTTGAGAGGCATGATTGTTTCGAAAAGTACTTTTTTTAAATACATAAGTAAAACTTTTCCTTTTGTGTAAATAGAAACTAAGTGGTATTAAGTTTAATTTTGTAGTCATCTTACTGAAAGTTACTTTTATGCCAAAATTTTTCAATCCCATTTTTGAGACCTCTATTGATTTTCTATGCTTGTTAATTGTTTAATATTTTCAGTAAAATCAATGATTTCGAGACAGCTATCATTTTTGGGCTTTTTTAATTATTGTGTGATTTGGTGTAAAAGTTCAAAAACAATTTTTAACCTACTTGAGACTTTTGGGTCCTGAAGAATCATACACATAAATAATGTAATTGTATCTAGAAGTGCTGATAATTTACATTTTCAATATAAATTCCTTTCTATCTGAGATAGCATAATCAAAATTATGATTTTGAAATATGTTTCACTATTTTACAGTTTAACTTAAAATAGTTTGGTTCCTGGAGCCCAGGGTAATGACTGAGTAGCTATCTTGATTACGATAATAGATTGCATTTCTTGTCTTTCTTAATTTGCTATTGTAGGGTCAGAATATTGCAAGTTGGTGTCCCTGACTTCGAAGATTTTATTGTGTACCCCACTGCAGAAACAAAATTACAATTGATTTTTAAAAAGATTGAAGAGTCTTCTTCGAGAAAGTAATTCTTTTGGGTTAATTATTAAAAACTATTCTTTAATAATAAAATTAGCACAGTTGTACATATTTTATTGGCTATTTTAATTCTTATTGTCTTTTCAATGTCAGTGAGAAAAGACAGAAAGACAGTTCACATGATTTCAACTAACAATACTATTTCATTATCATAACTAGAAGGTTAAAAGTTGTAAAAATATTAAGATTCACTCAGTGAATGAAGTATATCTCTTGAGTTTTCATATTATGCACTTCTTAATTACTAATTAATTATATTATTTCTCAATGTATTGTAGGCTTATGCCAAATTTTCTGCTGTACCGCTACAGACACATGTAACCAATAATCCATTTTGTACTCCTAATGGTTCGTTACCCGTTTTTAAACACGGAAAGAAAAAGATAAATGGATTTTCTGAAATAGCAACTTATTTACGTGAAAAGGTGGGCATATTTGTGTAGTATTATATGTAAATATTGCTTGAGTTTTTTGTTATATACCTTTTTAGTTATGGTTTTTTGATTTACAGAATTTTAGTGCCGATTTTGGGTTGACTCCAAAACAATGTGCGGAAAGCGTGGCATTTTCTCATCTTTTAAGTGAGAGACTGCATCCTGCATTACAATATGTATGGTAAGTATGAATTGGTCACTTAAAAAAAATCATATTTTCTTCTACGCAGTTCTCTGAAAATATTGAAATAAGCATTAACTGAATTATAATTATAAAAATGGGGTTAGGAGCCATTAAAAAAACATGATCATAAAATTTAGCTTTCTCTGCTTTACCTCTTCATGTGTAATACATAACTCCCCCGACACCTGAATGTTCCATTTCAAAATTCCACTCCCTCTCTTTAATGCTTTTCCGTTAATTTCCTCTTTTGAAGAGGAAAGCAAGTTTTAAAATGAAATGAGAGCTTTGAAAAAAGAAGAATTGTATTTATCGTTTGTATCAACAGTATTGTAAACCGCGTCCCATGACTCGTGTAGCAAGTAATTGATGAATAGTTTTATTTTACTTTTAGTAAATAATCTACTCGTATGTGTATTATTTATGGTGTCAGTGTTCGCATTTCATATAATGGTAAGAATTTGTGCATCGTGAAATATCTAAAATCTTTTGTTTCTATTTCAAATCACTTAGTGGTTTTGTTAATTATTATTTAATCAATTGCCTTCTTTGAATTTAGAATTTAGTGTGATCCGTGTAGGTACATTTATTGTAATATCTAAACTGAAGGAATGAATTAAATTGAGAAACTGCTTTTTCTCGCAAGATTCGATCAGAAAATCAATGTTAAAATCTCCACATACAACAGTGGATTAAAAAGAGCGATTGGTGACTTTGTTTAGTGTTATTTCCAGTTTTTTTAAGAACCTAATATAATCTACTGCTCTCTTTGTTGGAGGCCTGTAGATGCAAAGTAATATAAGTTTTAGCGTAGGAAGATGTACCACAGATATTTCAAACACCTTTTTAACGGAATACACATTTAATTCTGTCAAGGAAATAGAACTGATATTATTTCAAACGTAAATGCATTAACCCTCATATGCATGACCTTTATGTGATTCCTTTTCTCTACAGTAATATCCTGTGAGTTAAAAGTTTGGAATTTGGAAAATGCTAAGTTCATTATCAAATAACTAATGTTCTGTAAAGCAAAGAACATCCCTCTAATTTAAATCGCTCTGTAGAGCTGCTTCGCTAAACTCAGTTTTATTTGAAAGGGATTGAACATTATGGTGCAGTATGTTTGCCTTTTGCAAGTACCTACATGGATGTTTTTCTACTGCATCTGACTGTTGTTGCTATATATTTACTCCATTTTTACCTCGAGTGCATGGTTGAAGGTTATAGTGTCCCTGCAACAGGTTGTGAGGATACTGAGTCATCAGGTGTAGGAGAATTGGTAGTGGGAAAAGGAGAAGAATCAGAAGAGGAGGTAAGTGGGTTTGAAATAATGGTGAGGGGTGGAGATCGAAAGGAAGGTGAAAGGAATGGATTTTTGGCAGGAGACAGCGTAGGACTGGAGTGGATGATGTATTGTGCAATCTTGTTGCCTACTGTATGTTTTCCAGCAAAGCTCATGTGGAGAGCATTCCGGGTGAAGTGTTTTGCTGAGGAAATTAATTTCAAAAACAGTAACATTTGTTTCTGTCAGTTGCAGTTTTAATTGTTGGTTTGCGTGCTTAATCTCGCTGCGTATTGTTTGCCTGTTGTACCAGAAGGGCAGAGTCAAGACTACAATGTTATTACTCGCGCAACTTTTCTTAAACGATGGATTGAAGAAATTCGCGTAGAATGGAGGTATTAGTTACAAAATCTGCCACTAGATTTTATGAAGCAATGCCTATCTCTGGAGAATCAGTCATGCCTTCGCAACGTTCTCAATAATTTGCGTTCTAACTTTCTCAGGTGTTCGAGGTATCTCCTGTAATATATCTTTACCTGCTTTGATCATTTCTTTAGTTTTTTGGAGAAAATACCGGATAGAAGTTCTCGGTTTCAAAAGAAAATTGTTTCTATTTCGCGTCAGTGAAGATGTGTTTGGAATGTCATAATTTTCTGCGAGCTTTTGCCTTCATCTGCTTATTGTGCCTAAGAGGGGGAAGCAAGGTCATCGTTCAAGAAAAGTTGCGCGAGTGATAGTGTTTTGGGCGGCACATAATAATTTCTTTACATGTTGTTCAGGTGTTAAGTTACCGCCCAAATTAATGTCATTCTGCCCTCCTATGATAATGACTGTGTCCTGCTTGGTCAGTGTCTTCGTGTGGGTGTCCAACTCTGCAGTCACGTCTGCAAACTTCCCGTTAGGTTTAAAATTCGATGAGACTGAGTAGTTGGAGGGTAACTTCCTACTGAGAATGGAGGAAAGATGGCGGCCATGTCTGTCAGCTAAATTAAGCACTTGTTTTTTAGGATGTCTTTGTTTTCAAGTGGTTTAGGATGCGAAGCTTTACGTGTTTTGGTTTTGACGCGCTTCCTAATCAGTTTGCGTTGGTTTGTGCTGTATTTGTCTATAGCAGAGAAGGGTTGTGAGGATCAGGAAAGCGGGTAAAATCCGTTTCATAATCTAAAACACTAAATTTGTTTTGAGTTGCGACTGGATATGGTGTCTGTGTCTTTTGTGCAGTCACGGGTGCACAGTTAGGAAGATTCGCAGTGTGCCGACTTGCACCCAACCGTTTGTATAGGGAAATACCTCTTGCAACTTCGGATACTTCTGAAAGCCTTCACACACATAAATTACTGTTTATGTGTGTGAAGGCTTTCAGAAGGTTGGCTTTGAGAGTGTAGAGAGTATAAAGAGTAGAACGGTTGGTTGCCATGTCACGAGTGCGTTTTAATGTACTTGATAAAATTCGAATACATACAGGAAACTCAGATTACAGCAACAAGGAGTTTCCTTTATGATTTGAAAGTGTAAGATTGATATGTATTCAATGAATTTAAAAAAATATTATTCGATACTAGAATGAGAAAGTGTGTCGTTTCGAAATTGATTGAATTCTAGTACTTACGAAATTTGGCAATGTGGTTCTGTAGATTGTTGTCCACTTAAGGCTAAATGTCCCGACACTAGTACAATTTGTTGCCACCTCGTGGCAGCACCGAAATAAGTAAAATATACTTTACCGATGTCTGAAGCAATGGTCCGATTTTCGATCTGTAAACGGCACTTGACGCCTTTTTAAAATAGAATTTACGCTACGAAGCCCTTTTTCCAAAAAAAAGGAAGCAAAAATTATAATTTGAAATTAGTTCTCGAACTTCCGAGAAAAAATTAAAAAATGTGGGCTTATAGCGCGATGGCGACATGCTTTCTGAATCCAACGCCGTGACGCCATGAAAATCGGACGAATAAAGTGAAATTTGGGATAACACCTCGCCTCCATCTCCCTTCCGCGCCGTTGCTTCACACACCCGATTTTTGTGGGCCCTCTGTCATCGCGGCGGCACGGCCAGGCCCGGCGGCATGCGGCCAGGCCCCGCCGGAATGGGCGGTACATGCGGGATAGGAAAGCCAGACAGCCGGTTTATGCTTTCGTCACTTTGCATCTCAATCTATTTTTCTACAGATTTCAAACTAGAGATGCTATACTGCTATTACAGACCGAGACAAACGTTCTGTAATAGTAGTACATAACTATCTTTTTCACATATGTCCGTCTTCCGTCGAATACCATCTTAAAATTGTTTCGATCGTATCATATCGGTTCCGATTTGGAACTGGTTTTTTAAAAAAATAACTAATTCTGTAAATATCACCATTAATCCATCTCCTCACATTTTATTCTAGATATATTTTAATAATAAGGTCTTCTGTCATCATTCTACCTTGCTCTAAGATCTTCCATTGTCAAATACCGAAAGAATGAGCGGAGTATACGCACGAGCTTTCATCCAACAACTCGATTTTTGATCTCAAAACGGCGTTTATCTGCTTTAAAGAGTTCATCTGGCGAATCTCTTTTCCCAATAAAAATATCCGAAGCTAGTTTTAAAAATGTTTTCGTACTTTCGGGCAAATTTAAAAATGTGGTAAAATAGCGGGCTGGCGAGCTGCATCCTGAATCCAACGCAGTAACAAGCATCGAAATAAGATTTTATGAATCATGACTTATCCAAGCTTACTTGGTAAGTTATTTTGATATAAAATAACTATGTTATATCAAAATATGTAAAAATCAATTTATAAAATTAGATTGATATAATTTTGAAGGGAATAAATAATTTCTGGCGCGTCATTTCGTACAGACTACGTAAATGAATAAAGTGTAATGATGCAATTGGATAACTCCTAGATGTTTTCTTGTATTTGGAGTGTGTTTTCCCTTCCATTTTATTTGTTTTATAAAAAGTGGATTTTCTAGAAAAAGTTATCTGTAGAAATTGCAGCATGCCAAACCAGTTAGACGTGATTCTTTCGTGACATATCGGACACAATGATATAAATAATATGGAACATTCAAACGAGTTTAAAAACGAAGGAAATCTTTTTCTGTATGATCTTAGAATATGCTTTACGCGAACGCTTACGCGACGTAATGTAATCTACACAACTTTCCAGACGAGATAGAAAATGAGGTTTCTTTCAATGTGAATTGTTTTTGAAAATCTTAAGAAAGTATATGCTTACATCAACAACATTTTTAAAATCTTGGTTTTTTCGTTTTCCGAGGGATGACTTTTGCCGATTGACTGAATCTCACGGTATTCATGCAATTGTGTTATTTGCACACTCTCGACTGTCTCCTTTTTTGGTAATGGAATCATTACAGTGCGTTGCAAATCTGTTGGTTACTGTTTTCTTTTTCAGATCACATCGCATAATTGTGTTAGTTTCGCCAAAATTTCTTCTCCTGTATCTTTGAATAGTTCGATTCGAATATTATCTACAGCCGAGGACATCCCATTTTTCAGTGGTATTGTCACCCAATGCATTTTTTCTCTGGTTCTTCTTCGTTATCATCTATATTTATCCACTACTTTATTTGTAAGTCATTCTCATATAACTTTTTCGTGTATTCTTCCCATCTTTTCGTGATCTCTTCTTTTGTTGTATTTATTTTGACGTTCTTGTTCTTAACATTCGCAATTGGAAATTTTCTTAACATCTCCATTTGTTGTTATGTTCTTCCACTTCTTTACTTTTTTCTTGAATAAACTTTTCTTTATCTTGTCTTGGTCTGGGCTGGAAAACCCAATAGAGTTTTCTGACTTTCATCTGTTCATTTGCTTTCTTTGCAGAATAATATAATGTTTGAAAAGAAAGAAATATAAGGACTCCGTTGTATCTTAATAATAATGATGATAATAATAATAATAACAACAATAATAATAGGCACGCGTTTGGAGTAAAAACCAAAGTATGTATACTATAGTGTTACGAATATTGCATCACATGCCGGAATTCGCTGCGCGAGGATTGCGTCATCTGCCGGCGC